GTAAGTTAAAGTCCATATTCCTAGTATTTCGGTTTTGACTTTTTGTCAGGTGAAAGTCTTTATGGACAGACGTGTCAGGAATTTGGTGATTATTGGTATCTATTTTGATAAATTAAGTCGCCTTTTCCTTATAATGGGCGCCAATGGAGGGGGAAACGCTTAACGTAAGTTAAAGTCCATATTCCTAGNAAATTAAGTCGCCTTTTCCTTATAATGGGCGCCAATGGAGGGGGAAACGCTTAACGTAAGTTAAAGTCCATATTCCTAGCGTTTCGGTTTTGATTTTTTTTGTCAGGTGAAAGTCATTATGGCCAGATATTGGTCGCTATTTTGATACATTAAATCACATGAGGCTTTTTCACATTAAGCGTTTTAGAATATCCCGAATATGACCCCCGGACGCGACATCCAAATGTCTATATGTCATGACTAAACAAGCTGATACAGGAATACATGCTACAGGGAATCTTGCCTCACAGGGATAGGCAGTGACTCATAAAGCAGAATGACGTGGGCAGGGACCGAATGAGAGCATGCAACGAAAAATCTACGATGAAGATCGCTGAAGCGGGCGCATATATGGCAAGCCGTTTTAACGTTTAATCAAGTCACACTCCTAACCGTAATTACATTTCAGATATTCACAATAGCTTTTCTAATAGTCAAAATTGTATTCTTACTAGTCAAAAAGAGCATTTCAGATGGCATTCTTCCTATCCACAATTGTCATTTCAGATATCCACATCGTCATTCTTCCTAGGAGAAATTACGTCACTTTTGCCATTCATGTCTATTGGGCTTTTAATTTCAGATATCCACAATTATATTTCAGGAAAAACTCACATTTCAGATTTCTACAATCCAATTGTTACTAGTCATAATTTTAATTTTGGATATTTGAAATTACATTATGGATTTCAAAAATGGTGGTATCCTTGTATGTGTATGCATATGTGTGTGTTTGTGTCTCCGTGTGTGTGCACACGCACATATGTGTGTGTCTGTGTGTGTGTGTCTGTGTTTGTGTCTGTGTGGGAGAGTGTGTCTGTGTGGGAGAGTGTGTGTGTGTGTGCATATGTGTGTGTGTGTGTGTGTATCTGTCTGTCTGTCTGTGTGTGTGTGTGTGTGTAGCACCAGTCAGAAATTTGGACATACATACCGATAGAAAGATTCATTGGTACCTACTCTCTACATTTTAGAATAATTATAAGGACATCATAGCTTTAAAATAACATATATGGAATTATGCACTGACCAAAAAAGTGTTTAATAGAAAAATGGGGGGGGGGGGGACTCAGAAGGTTGCCAGGACAAATCCCTGGGTCAGTACAGTAATCCCATTACTGCCCCCCAGTTGCTCCAGTGACTGGCTGACCCTACTGTCCCCTCTACACCAGTTCCATGAGGTGGCCTCCTGGGATGCTTTTCCAGCTGTCCTGAAGGAGCTCCCACATACTTTTTCTTCATTTCCTGGTCAAATTCCTCCCAACCCATTCATCTTGTGTTTAGGTCAGGTAGCCAGGTCATGTGATGTGACACTCTACGACTTTGTAGTTGGCTTGGCGTATCCACACTTTTGACTGACACTGTGTGTCTGTATATAATTTGTGTGTGTTATATATATTATATACAGTGCCCTCCACTATTATTGGCTCCCCTTGTAAAAATTAGTAAGAATATTTGGTAAAAAAAATCTGTTTGCTGAAGTACCTTCATCTTTTGTTATTCTAAACAAAAACACACGTATCACAATTGTTTGCACCCTTGGGAATTAATGTGAAACAAAGTAACTGAAGCATGTTTCCCATTTAAATTGGACATTCTTTAGTTGATTGGAGTTTATTGGAACTTACCAGGTGAAATCAATGACTTCCTGATTAACTGGGATACAAATGTGAGGAGACAGAACCCAATTCCCTTAGCTAACCTTCAAAATGGCAAAGAAAAAGAGCACTCAATACAAATGAGGGCGAAGTGTGTTGTCCTTTGTAACTCAGGTAATGGTTATAAAAAGTAGTTACTCGGCTGAAAATGCATATTTCTACATATAGGGCGATAATAAAAATGTGGTCATCAACTGTGATTAAACTTGCCTGGAAGAGGACCCAAGTTTATTTTACCCCCACATTCAGTGAGAAGGATGGTCAGAAAAACAAATATCTCCAAGGACCACTGTTGGGGAACTGCAAGAAAAAGTAAAATCCTGGGGTCATGAAGTCTCCAGAACTACCATGAGATGGCATCTCCATGTCAACAGATTGTCTAGAAGGTATGACAGGAAAGAACCTTTTCTGTCAGTGATACACAAACGTAAGCACCTGGAGTTTGTTAAACGTTACTACAATCTTTGACTGGAGCTCTGTTCTACGGACTGATGAAACAAAAATTGAACTTTTTGGCAATAAACACTGAAAGTGGGTTTGGTGTAAAAAGGACGGCTGTAATGAAAACCGTCACACCCACACAGGCGGGATGCAGCAGCTGCGGACGATCTCCCCTGATTGGCTCCGCTTAAGCAGATGCTACTCGGCAAACAATGCAAAGTATTGTTGCCATGTTAAGGAGCATTACCAAGCATTCTTTTGTCTTTCCTGCCCTCTCCTGCCTTCCCAACCTGCCTGCTCTGCCCCGTGATCCCGGTCTGCCTCACCTGACATCCCCGCCTGACCCATCTCCATCGATCCTCCTTCCCTGTCATCTTCTTATCCCGTGCTGACCTGTAGGACTGACTTCCCTGGCTCTCGACCTCCTGCGAATGTCCCGACCCCGATTTTGGATCACTGTCTTGACTTTGTCTGCATCCGGCTTATTAATAAAACTCCTCTAGTTTACCTTATGTTCATTACAAGTACCTTGTCCCAACTGTTAAATATGGTGGAGGATCTGTGATGTTGTGGGGCTGCTTTTCCTCCAAAGGCCCTGGAAACATTGTTAGGGGACATGGCATCATGGATTCCATGAAATATTGGAAGATATTAAATGAAAACCTGGCTGCCTCTGCAAGGAAACTAATACGGGTCTTCACGGGTTCTTCCAGGATGACAGTGATCTGAAACAAATCCACCCTGCAATGGCTACCTGACCATAGAACCAAGCTTCTGCCATGGCCATCCCAGTCCTCTGACCTGAAGGCCACTGAGAACCTGTGGGCTGAGCCGAAGAGGAGAGGATCTAGGACCATGGATGATCTGGAGATATTCAAAGTGCTAAATGCAGGGTTGCCAATTGTGGCATATTAGTTTTTGTTAATATTTATTTCTTGATAAGGGATATGTTTTTTTATTTAAATAAACGTGCTTTGACTAAAAGTCAGGTTTTTCTCTTTCAGAGCAAGATGAAGGTACTTCAGCAAACAGATTTTTTTTCTTTTCTTTTTCAAACCCTTCTTACTAATTTTTAAGGGGTGCCGATAATAGCAGAAGGCATTGTATAAATGTGTGTGTGTGTGTGTGTGTGTGTTCTCCCCACGTCATCGTGGCTGCCTCACACCTCTGGGAGCCGAGTTCCACGCGTGACGTTTGTGTGTTCTCCCCACGTCATCGTGGCTGCCTCACACCTCTGGGAGCCGAGTTCCACGCGTGACGTTTGTGTGTTCTCCCCACGTCGTCGTGGCTGCCTCACACCTCTGGGAGCCGAGTTCCACGCGTGACGTTTGTGTGTTCTCCCCACGTCATCGTGGAGGTTCCTTTGGGGTTTCATCCCCCAGTTCAAAAACATGGTACGGTCAACTGGCATTTTCAAATTGCCCATAGTTATGCGTGTGTGTGCATGGTGTGTGTGTGCCCTGCGATGGGTTGGCGCCCCCTCCTGGGTTGTTCCTTGCCTTGCATGTGTGTGTGCATGGTGTGTGAGTGTGCCCTGCGATGGGTTGGCGCCCCATCCTGGGTTGTTCCCTGCCGTGCACCTGTAGTTTCTTGGATGGGCTCCGGACCCCCCACAACCCTGAATAGGACAAGCGGTTTCAGAAAATGGATGGATGGATAGTGACCTTGGTTCCTATTATGCTAGGCCAACGTTGAGCATACATTTAATCACTTGCCCCAGGTGTGGAGGAGTTTCTCTGCCAACTGTTTGAATACAAAAACCTGCTATGTGGGGGTGTGCATGACAGCCTTTATTGACTCCCAGGTGGGGGGGGGGTGCCCATGTATCTACTCCTTTACTTCTTTGGCTTCTTTTGGAGGGGATATACCCTGGGGGACAAAGTATAATCCCATGAAACTGTCCTTGGGTTCGACATGACATAGGGATTTGACCTGATCTGGGGTATATTCTTCAACCCCCTCCCACATACTAGATTTCTGACCTCAGTTCCTGAATGTGATTGTAGGCAATATATGATAATTTATCCAAACTCACAATAGCCTTTTTTTTTTTCTTTTTCATAAACACAGCCCAAGGCACCCATTATATAACATGCTAAAATTTTTAAAAAGCATTTAATGTCAGTGTCAAATGATATGTTAAAATTTAGTGAGTTTTGGCTACTCTATGCACAGTCTTGTCTATAGTTCTATGTTGTCGACATGGTTCCTGTGTCCCAGCCAGGCAAACAGACACTTCAGCTCTTCTGCCCACTTGGTGGCTTTTCCTTCTTTTCTGACATAAGTTTGCTTTTGTTTGCATCCAAAGCTCTCGCAGCCATGCGGGATCCTTCAGCGAGGGCTCGTCATGCCAGGAGGAGGGCGGGGCTGTTCTGCACAGGAAGGGACATTGGCTGCATATCACCTGGATGCTAATGCCATGCTCCTCCCTGCCCCATCCAAGTGTCTGCACTGGTGTTTCCAAAAGAAGAAATCTTTCACACTGAAAACTGGGTTCAGTAAAAAATGTGCAGGGCCGGGGGGGCATGGGGTGGGGGTTGCTTAAAGCCTGCATTTCTATTCAGCTGAAAGGGTGCTGCTGTATTTGCCCCCTGTGTGTATTTTTCTTCAAGTAAAACTAATGCCAAAATAGAGCTGCAATAGGTCCTTCTGTAGGTGAAAAACGAAACCAGGGAAAAGGCTTCCGGGTGACGGCTGTCCCCCGTCTCCCCTTAGATGGCACTGGCATTGGGGTCGTACCTTCTCTTCTTGACATTTCTTGCCATTGCAGAAGAGAACAGGGGGAGACAGAGGAGAGGAATCAGGGCCAATCCGAGCACTCGACCTCAAGCAGCATGTCACAGATTGGAGCCTTCGCCCCCTCCCAGCACCACCCAGGCACATGGAGCCTGCCGCCCTGCTCCAGCTGGCTTGCCACTCAAATTTGCCTGGGCTGCCCTTTTTCTTGGTCTCCTTTTGCCATTTCTTGCACTCTTACACAATAATCTATAGGAATATATGGACATGCTGCAGCCCATCCACGAATGACTGTCTCGATGGTCTGTGCTAAAGGCTAATCTGCTAGCTGCCGCTACTCCGTGAAAGCGTCACTTGGTTCCATTTTGTTTCGGTAGTGCTGGCGAGCAGGTGAGGTACTAATCTGTGGAGCTGCTTCTCTTTTGACATCAGATACAAACAGCATTTCTCTATGTGGATGCAACTCTATACAGAAAACACACTGGATCAAACAAATATTACCAATAAAGAGAAATAAAACTACACAAAACAGGAAACAGTGTATAGAAAGGAAGGGCAAGTGGACGTTACGGTACAATAGGCACAACGACACCAAGGGGTTTGGCACAACCTCCCCGTACTGTGGCTTCCTGTGGGGCATCCAGCAGTCTGTCATGCATCTGATCCAATAGCAGGCAAGCATCTGCCATCGCTATCGCAGTTCTGGTCCAATAGCAGGCGAGCACAGGACACCGCTATCGCTGAGGACGGGGGCATGCAGTGCAGCACACCGTGTCTGTACCAGGTCTGTGAGGCAGGCAGCAATGGTAGCTGGTGGGCCAATCCGGGGGGTCCAGCTCTGCATAAGGGGCGGAGCCTGGTCGTTCATGGAGGTGTGGTCAGCCATGGCATAAAGGCTGCAGCCAGCCAAGTGTGGGTATGGCTTCTCTCGCCACTCCGCATGAACCCTCACCCTCTGGCGATATCGGATTAAAAAAGAAATCAGCGGCGATTGGATGGTGGCGGAGCATGTCAGCCG